TTTTTAGTGGAGAAAAATTGTGAACTGTAACTTGTTCACCCTGTTGCTTTTTTTAAAAGCTCTGGAGACTGTAAATGTTCACATGTTCTCCTGAAGGATTGCAGAAGTAACATTCATTTATAACATTTGAAGGATTATTCATGGAAAAATTATGCAAAGGAAAAAACAGTGAGATCCTTTGGGATATGTGTAAACTTTTCCAAATGTTCTTGCCACAGATCTCTGAACAGCACTCAGCTCACTCTGATGAAGTTGTCTCACGTTCCCTAATGCAAACAATTTCTTAATAATGTTTTAATATTTTTATACATTATTTTTGTGCATGTCAGCATAGTCTTGAAAATGATGCTGAGAAATAATGAAAACCAAACTAACCCTTGTTCATGCCAGCTGACTGGAAAATCATACTAAGAGTGCTTTGTCTCCATGAAAGGCAAAATAACAGAATAGCAATCATGGTAACAGTATGCACTAGGAGTGGAGCCAGGAGAGTAAAGAGGAGCGTTAGCAGTAGCAGATGACTTCACTTATTGGAAAAAAAGGGGCAAAATAACTCAATCTCAAATGAATTTAAATATTGGAATTTTGTTATCAGCGGTATCAGGCATAGCTTCCCAGCTAATTGCTCAGTAGTCTGGTATGTCCATAAACATCCCTTGGTGTGTGCAGTTTTCATCAGTTTCTCACCACTTACCCTCTTTGGCATCCTTCTTCGCACAGCCTCTGTTGTCTCTCACCCCTTTACAGAAATGAGGTCATCTCCCCTGTGCCCCATAACTCACGCTGATGCCCTGTCACCCCAGACTTCTGGCTGAACTGAGTGTACCCTGCAGCACGGGTCCTGTCTAAATAGAACTCTGAACTTCACAGTTGTTCTTCATAGACATTTGACAGCAGAGCAGATGCAAAGACTTTGTAAAGGTTTTTAAGCTCAGATTCTTTTTACCTTAGCACAGGGTTAACAGAGCCAAACTGTATATATTTCCTTCTCTTGCCTTGGAGATGAGGAAGAAGCAAAACTACATAGAAAATGACCACTACAGCCAGAGTAATACCAGCACAGCTTCATCTTATCCCACAGAGCATTCTGTTTTCTGTCATCAGGGTCTTCACTAAAGTCACCTAACTAGGAATTAGAATAAGTCCGTTACCTCCTTTCACAGGACTGATGAAAGCAATTGTGATTGCCATGTGTAACAGTAAGGAAGCCAGGCTGGAACTGTTGGCTTAAGTTATAAGACTCCTATACCGATTTCCACAAATTCTGTCACACTTGATACATCTCACCTTAGCCAGGCAGTATTTTAACCTGAACTGAAGTCTGATTCTATAATCTTATTTTCAATCTGAGATATGCAGTCCTTTTAGACACATTACGTCATTTGTTTCAGGTTTTTATTAACAAACTTTTTCTGTTCTGAACCTGTCCAGGTAATAAAAGCTCTTGCTAAAATCAAGTTATAATGATCACTCCTTAAATATTTTTGTGTTGTATTCCTATTAGTGCAAATTTCACTCCATGCTTCCTAAATGGGGTCTAATTTCCAAAAACCGGGAGTGTAGAGTGAAAACTCTCAAAGAACTATTTTTATTGGTAGACAACATCTCTTACTTTTTGTAGGTTTTGATAGCAATAACATTTGAACCTATAAATACTTCAAAATACCTGGAGTCAAATCCAGCTGACATTGATTTTGTAATGGCTTGATTGTGTCAGCACAAGACTTGTTATTTTGCTGTTCTTTCTCTAGATGAAGTAGTTTTGCTGCAGCCTCCATGCTTTGTTTCAATGAACATTGTTTTAGAATCAAATTAATCAAAAAGTCTTACTGCTTTCAGATCTGTGACTCTCCATGGTGAGGAACTAAAACCTTTAAACTCTTACATATTGGAAAATTGCACTGTTATTTTGACATGTGGCATAGTGTCTGTTTGGAAAAGCACTGTACCATAGTGGTGCTCATTTAGGGCTGTGCCTTGAGATTGCTACTCTTTCACAGGCTGTAGTTTTAACAGTTTGTTAAACATAATGCCTCAGTAACTCTCAGTGAACTATCATGTCTTAAAAGAAGTTCGTGTAAATCAGGATTTAGAACTGGCACCAGAAAGAGCTGAATGACACAACAGGAAGCAGTAGAAAACTGAACGAATCCTGCAACCAAATTAAGGGACAGGTAGTGACTTAATGCATTGCAAGGTGTGATGGTAACCTCAGAGTGGCCACATCAACATTGGTTTATGCTGAGTTTCAGACTAAACTCTTGCTGATATATGCCCATAATTTTCAGGAAAATCCTCTTTCAGCTGCAACTATCGTCATACAAGGTCTCAGTTCCAATACATTTTAAACTTCTTAGCAGATAGTAAACACCTCAGTAGTCCTAAGTATTTTACTGTTCACAAGTTGAAAAATATCTGATGGAAAGGCACTACAAACAAAGCATGTAGAGAGAACTCCTTTTTGTGAACCTAGTTCATCAGAAGGGCTATAGGTTTTCAAATAAAAAAACTTGTAATCATTTTTGAAACTTCTGAAAGCATTTGGTTTGTGCAAATTCTAAGAATTTGTAATGAAAGCTTGTGCTAAAAGACTTTGGTGAAATGTATGTTCTTTCTAGTAATGCAGCAGACAAGACTTTCAGACCTAATGGTGAAATACAAATTCAAACAGTTTTTACACTAAACCACCTAATTGTGCTCAGATTCATACTTTTTGTATTCTAACTTGTGCTTAGCCTCTATGGCAGAAGAGGAACCCTATTGTCTTTAGGGAAAAAGCTTCCAATGTCCTCTTAAGCCCAAATGCAACAAAATTTTAATTGAGAATGCAGCAGAACATTATACTTAGCTCTCAGGCCCTCAGAGGCCTTCTGACCTCCCAGGCGTATGGTTCTGGTTGGATCTCTGGATCAAGTAATGATTAAAAGTGCATTTTGTTTAAAACTGCATGTGGCCTTTAAGCGTAAGACCTTCTCTGAAGCCACATAATGCCAGTGACTCATGCTACTGGTGTGATGTTTCACAAATTCTCAATTGTGTGATTGTAGCAAAGACAGGCAGGCAAAAATATTGTCCTATCTAAGATGGTATATAGGAATAAGGTAAAAAACAGGATTACAAACTTGTTTTCTCTTTTTGTTCTCCCACTATACTGATGATCTGATGAGTGATATTACTGAAGTTTCCTCTAATGAGCTTGTTTCCCCTCTCTCTATTGCTAGAAGCAGTTTCCTCTTTCTGCTTGTCTTGAGGCTCCTTTCACTGTTAATTAAACAGCACAATGAACAGTTTGCTCAAATGTGCACGACACTGTGTGGATGAGATTTTTCCCCTTACTACTAGGGGAAGACCATTGCAATTCTTCATAGTAATGACCCAGTTCATAGTGAAATTCCTGAGTCTAGGCTATGGGGAAATAAAAATACAAGTAATTTGGAATTTATTCCTATATTACATACAACTTGATGTAATTCTATATGGCAGAGTGGGTATGGTCAGTAAAGCATCTCGCATCTATTTGTATTATTTTTTGCCTCTTACTAGGACAAACTCATTACTGGTTCTCCTGTTTCTTCTTGCGTCTCATGAATCCTCAGTTCAAGGCAGAATAAATTGATGCATAACTTAGGTGCTTGGGAGAGATGGAGTAGCCTATATAACAGATAGAATCATAGGATCTCTCGGTTGGGAAGGGAGACATAAGGATCATAGAGTCCAACTCCCTGCTCCTTGCAGGACTACTTAAAACTAAATTATATTACTAAGAGCACTATCCAGACACTCCTTGTACTCTGACAGGCTTGGTGCCATGACCACTTCCCTGGGGAGCCTGTTCCAGTGACCAGCCACCCTCTCAGAACCATTTCTGTTACGAGTGTACCTTCACATCCTGTTGTCAAACTGTGCCCTGGAATGTTGGGGGTTTGTTTCGTTGTTTTTTTTTTTTCCATTTCTGTGTATCACTAATTTGAGGCCAGACACTTTCGTAAGGATTTTGATGATAGTTGATGTGGTTTTTCACATCACAAAGTTTCTGTCTGTGTTGACCTCTTAATGGGTGGTTTAGAGTAGAGGCCAGAAGCTGACTAAGTTAAGGTCACTGGAGCCTCCAAGAAGTGGTTCATGTAATGTAAAGGGAAGTCTGTTTCGCTGCTACCTGAGCTGTACCAAGTCTGGAGATAGATATGGGGCAGACGGCCGCTTTCATGCCCACAATTCCCATTTCTGTCAAAAGCACCAGTGCCACAACTAAATGTTTAAAAGTGAAATCTCAACTGTTTATTGTGAAGCCAAGAACAGCCTTGCATTCACTGAGGATGATGATAGGCCATGTTGTTCTCCACTGTATTGCAGAGTTCACTGCCAGCCTTTTGCAAACAGCATCAAGGAACTGGAGCAAGAACAGCTTGTCCATGTTTTCCATGAGGCCTCATAAAATCTGTAAATGAGAGGAAGAATAATTGCAGTGAGACATCTCTAGAGCTCATAGATGATTGAGAAGTAATGCATCTGTCTGGCCATTAGATACATGAAAAGCCCCTGCTTTCTCTTACATGCTTCAAGCTGTGAGTCAGTATGAGCGGATTGTTTACAGTTTGTTTACAACATGGAGTTGTGAACAAAATTTGAAACATGTGTGAG